GCACGCTCAAGCGTTGGATGCCGCCAAACGAGATCTGAAGTTTCTTCTCACGGTCCTCATTTCCCCCGAACACGATGATACCGAATCGTTTGTCAAGGATACGCTCCTCTCGCCAGAGGTGGCTGGCTATCTCAACAACCCGTCCAACAACATCATTGTCTGGGGTGGGAACGTTCTCGACTCGGAGGCTTATCAGGTTGCCACGGAATACATGTGCACCAAGTACCCCTCGTCCTGCCTGATCTGCCTCACACCGAAAGAGGGTAGCACCCGCATGGGGATCGTCAAGCGTCTCACCGGGCCCATGACACCAGCAGCGTACCTCGCCGGGATCGAGAGTGCAATTGCCAAATACGCCCCGGACCTCGACAACACTCGTTTGGAGCGGGCCTCGCAAGCTGTAGCACGGAACCTTCGCACCGAGCAGGATTCTGCTTACGAAAGGTCTCTTGCTCTCGACCGGGAGAGGGCTCGTCAAAAGAAAGAGGCCGCGGCTGCGGTGGCCGCCGCGGAGAAGCGCGCCCAGGAGGAAGCCGAGGCAGCGGCACGGCAGGAGGAGTTGCGTCAACAGTGGCGGCAGTGGCGAGCCACGACGATTGCTTCCGAGCCTGGGACAGGTGTACGTCTGGCCATCAACCTACCAGCCTCGGCCGGGGGGGAACGTATCATTCGCAAGTTTGCGAATGACACGACCCTCGAGGAGCTTTACGCCTTTGTGGAATGCTATGGTCTTCTTCAGAGCTCAGAGTTGTCGGCCGAGAAGGTTGTCGAGCCGGCCGATTACGAGCACAAATACGCGTTCAAGATCGCATCGGTGCTGCCCCGGCAGACGCTGGAGCCGAGCAAGTCCGTCAAGATCAGCGACAAGATGGGCCGGGGAGGCAGCGTAGTGGTAGAGGATGTTATTGACGAAGCTGAGGAGGAGGATGAGTGAAAAGAGAGGGCAGCTGTCGCATTAGAGCATCGCTGGCCCAGGTGTTTAGAATGGGATCGGTTCGGCGTTGAGAGATGGGTGGGTGGGTTTGGGTCTGACTGAGCATTTACCGGATGGAATTAGGTATTTTTTACAGGAAGGAGTGGAATCCTGGCCTCTGCTTGCTGAGACGGCCGTGGTATATGGGAGGTATCATGGGCAAAGAAAATCAATGTTTGGAGTGTTTCCACTCGGCGGCGGTCGACATGTGCCCTGTTGGAGCGTGGGGTTCGCCGGTTGTCCACAGCACGGCTTTGACGAGAAACTAACCCCTATCGCCGGATCGCCGAAGATATTGTGCCCATGACAGAACCTCGTGCTCCAAGGGCCGCGCGGTTCTTGGGGACACGCAAGTTGGCCTGACTCTGTGGGGTCAGTTTTGCTCTTTGTCAAGAGGGGTTTGGCAATGGTTGATAGGCGCCAATGCTGCGAAACAGTGGCAAGTGACGCAAAAGGCAAGGAGAACACCACCGACGGCAGCGTTGGGGGGGGGGGGCAGCTTGCGTATCATGGGGGCTGTGCAGTCAGAATGCGACGGGAGTGCTCCCTTGGCCAAAAGATAGCAGTCAATGGTTGGTAAGTTGGAGCCTACTGGTAGGATTTGGTCCAGTTATATTCGGCAATGTCGGTTGGTAGTTTGTTCGACTCTTGAGAAAACGGGCACATTGACTCTAGGCTGCGCTATCATCAACATCCATGAAGAGTGTTGATGTAACGGAGCGATCAGACCAAGATCTCATTGCCGTGAGGTTCGTTCGCGAATCTTCAAGCCACAGCCCTCCGTTTTGCTTGCTGCATCGCCCACGCGACGCGTTAGTTGTACGGAGTACATAATCTAGATAGTCTTTTAGGCAGCTAGTTTCTGGCGGCTACACATACAAGCAGGATGCCAGCGTGGTGACAGCATGCAGAATCCAGAAATGCAGCATCGACTCATCCTTTGGATGTCGAGTCATAAGCTCGACGACCGCTTTTTTTTAAACTTCCGCTCGTCTGGAAGTCGATACTTTTGAAGTGGACACTGGTGCCAAGATGCCCTGGGCGACAGAAGATTGCCTATCGCCCAATCAAATGACCAAAGTTGGGACAATTTGACATCCAAAGATCTTTACCCCGGATCGTCAAACGGGCACCGTTACGGCGAAAAAGGAAAAGGCCGTGTGAGCAGGGGTCACCGTCCCGCTGCGTTGCTTGACGAACCCTGGGATAATCAAAACCACGAGGCCCCCGACAACGTCTCAGGCCATCTCCTCATCATCCCTCAAGTTGAAGGCGCAAACGCGGCGGATTGCCTGCTCTCCCAGCAATACACTGCGAGCTTACCTCTTCGCTCTGATCGCTCACGACGCGCCCCTCCCCTCCCCTCCATCGTGGACACCCGCTGCATCGCCAACCCACGAGTCTCCCATCTGCGGCTCGGCTCCGTGCGCACAGGAGACCTTGCCGTTGACATCATCCATATTTCGGCGACTGTCGCAAACGATGAAGGGCTTCAGTATGAACAAGGTGCTCGGCACCATCAAGAAGCGGCCCACCTTTGGTGCGTCGGCCCCCTCCGAGACATGCGGCCCAAGTTTCCTGTCCCATCTGCTAACGCCACTGCCGTTGCGCAGGCGGAAGCGGTGACTTGCCGCCTCCCGATCCCACCACCGAGACCCCAGAGGCGATCGCGACCCGATGTGTTGTAGGGATTCCCACCGGTGCGCATGGGATGGGCGCCTTGTGCTGACGAGCGCTTGCAGAAACAATTCTGCGAATCAGGAGGCAGCCAAACGGTGAGTGGGACAGACGAGTTGAACATTCCAAGCGGCATCGCCGTCGCACATTGGTACTGAGACAATGATCCCTACAGGGCGACGACATCACCTTCCTCCCATACATTGTCGATGCCGCCGAGTCTTCCCCGGCCGCCGCTGCCGAATGCGCGCGCCTCATCCGCAAGTTTCTGTACCGCGACTATTGGACGAAGCCATCATATCAGTACAGCGCCATCATGTTGATCCGGATCCTCTCAGACAACCCAGGGCCGACCTTTACTCGAAATCTGGACAAGAAGTTCTCCGATACTGCCAAGGAGTTGCTGCGCTCGGGCCGGGATGGGAGCGTAAGGCAGTTGCTCATGGAGACGCTCGACGCGTTTGAGAACACAAAGGCCCACGACGAAGGACTGCGCACCATCATCGAGATGTGGAAGAAGGAAAAGGAGAAGGCATACAAGGCATATGGCGTACGTGTGACCAAAGGCGTCTAGGCTCCAGGAGCGGTACTGACCATCCTGACAGGGCGTCCCCGAGGTGGTCCCGAGAGCACTAAACGCACCAGCATTCAATCATCCACAAGCCCAACAAGAGTACTTCAGCCGTTCTCATGCCAACCGCAAGATGCCGAACCCCGTCGAGTTGGCGAACCGCCTGGAGGAAGCCCGGACGTCGGCCAAGCTTCTCGAGCAGGTCGTCGCATGCACGCCCCCAGCCGACGTTCTCAACAACGACCTCATCAAGGAGTTTTCAGATCGTTGTCTCAGCGCCTCGCGAAGCATCCAAGGCTACATGTCGAGCGAGCCGGCACCCGACAACGACACAATGGAAAGCCTCATCGACACCAACGAGCAGCTGCAACGATCCCTCAACCAGCACCAGCGTGCCATCCTGCAGGCGAAGAAGCACCTGGGCATCAATTCTTCCTCGGCTATAAGTCCCATCAGCGAGCCATCGCCCGGCACAGAGCGCGCAGGGCCCGGGCTGCCCACCTCGAGCGGTGCAGCTGGTGGCTTCTGGCAGGGTTCCTCGGGCGCGAATCCGCTCAGCATGAACCCTGCCGCGCCACCACCTGTGCCAAGCAGGAAGGCTGTGGGGAATGGAAAGGGCAAGGCCCCATCGACATGGGAGAGCCCACACGCCGTCGGTTCCAGCTCCAAGGCGGCCACCCCGCAGAATGAAGACGAGGCGGACCCGTTCCGGGATCCGGTTCCCGAGCGGAAGTCCAACGAGCTCCCGAGTCTGCCGTACGAGCCCTTTCATCCCGGATTTGGCTCTTCGGGATCGGGGGCGCAGGGGAAGACAAATGCCAGCAGCAGCAAGAACGATCCTGTCACGCCTGTTAGCGACGACGAGCTGTACGAACGGGACGATGCCTACAAGGCCACTCCGCCGAGCAAATCCGCGCAGACTTACCGACACTAGATGCACCGGTATGCCTTTACGTCCAGCTCCAAAGTGGCGACGCCGCAGAATGACGACGAGGCAGATCCGTTCCGAGATCCGGCCCCGCAGCGAAACCCGGCCAAGACCACGAGGTCACTTTACAAAGCAGCTTTTTGCCAGCATCGGTGAAGGCCCGGCAGGGGGGTGGGAGGGGCGGCGCATGTCGCTGTCGAGTATATCAGCTATGTTTTATCGGCCCTAAAAGTAGGCGGGGCTATGGCGTCCTCTTGGGGTGGCATGTGTGGAACAGGCAATATTTCGAGGGATGAGGCCACGGAGGCGGTAAAGGTATCAGTCCGTGACTTGTCAATATTCGCGAGATCCATGGGAAGCAGGAGACATCGGCAAACATATGAGGCATCGGCTCTTGGGAGGCATTCTTTGTTCAAAGTTTCTTTTACCGCAGTACGTAGCACTTATTGGCCCTGCTCTTGAGTCTCTATCAGGAGCTGGCGTTATATTTTTTCAACGGTGGGATGGTGGACATCGGTTTGCTTTGATTGAGACGACGAAGCGGCGCTGACTGCAATGAGAGCCGAAGCAGCAGCATGGATTTAACTGTGTATAGCTAAATATGGGTGCCATTATGAGTAGAGACCGCCACTGCATGACTCTCCGTCTGTTGCGGCCCGGGAATTACAAGCTGGCCATGGACGGGAGTTTCTCCAACCTGCTAGGAGTCGTCTCTCCGCCAGCAGATTCATCCACTGGGCCGGTGACTTTTCTCTTTCAGATACGGACGGATACATTGGTACCTACTTTGCAGACTGGGTTAAACTCTCCTTTCCCTCTTCAAGGGGTACTGTATCAAAACCAAAAAGAAACGACGCCTGCAGGATTCGAACCTGCGCTCCCGAAGGAACTGCCTTGATTTGCTGCTAGGTACAATACATATGTAGCAGGGCAGCACGTTAACCACTCCGTCAAAGCGCCTGGTGAATGCCGTTGGATGAACATGATCTAATTGTCTCCATGGTTGACAAGCCTCACGGTGGGTGCCTTGTGGGACGGGTGACTCGGCCCAGTCTATTCCCCAGAGCTTCTAATCGATTCATTGACCGGGTCCACCGATTCCAGGGCAGTACGTGATCTCTGTCAAGCAATGGGGGAGGGCAAGTTTAGCTTTCAGCCAACAGTCTGTCGTACTCAATGCTGAGGTTGCGGCTCCCGTCCTCTTGGCTACGTCTTCTTCAGTCGGATCGTATGTCCGGAGACCTGGGGTCGTGGGTACCGACCCCCCGGGCTCGCCCTTGATCAAATCCTGCGCGCTCAGCACCTCCCAAGTATTCCCCCGACCTCGGCCGTTCAATATCGTCTATTCCATGCACGTGTGTTGTCTACCTGGCGGCAGCCCACCTCAATATGTTTCAGCAACTATTTCCGTTTTCGACGATCCGAGACTCCAGCGACGCCGATCCGGCCCGGCCCGGCTTGTCGATTATGCATGGGCTCGCGAGACCTGGTTACACACCAAGACCAAGAAGAGGACCCAGCGGGAGGGGTAGGGTGGAGTGTTGATATCACCGTGATCCTTGGACGGGACCGGGGCCGGGACCGGGACCGGGCGGTGTCAAGACGTATGTGCACTCCCGCCTGGAGTCAGGGCTGATTAGGTGCCGCATATGTCTCGCACCATGAAAAAATGTCAGCGGGCGAGTTTGGTGTTTCGGGATGACACCAAGATTTCCCTGCTGGACAGGAGTAGAGTTCGGCCGCAGACACTCTGTAATGTACATTTCGTCCGAGAGGAAACCAACATCACGGGGTTGGTACCCGACGAGGAGAAATCTTGGCTCTTGGTGGGCTTCGACAATCGATATCGACATGCAGTCTCGATCACAGAAAGGAAGCATGAAAGCACTACATTCGCCCCGACGTTCCTTGATCGTCCCCAACAGAACCCTCGCACCGATCGACGGGCCTCTGCTCACCCGCTTTCAGGTCGTCGCACCCCTTCTGTCCCATTCAGGAACCTGCACACTGCCATTTTCGGAAATATGCAGTCCCTCATCGGGCGGACTGAATCGGTGCCACCCCAGGACGCGGGGATGCACAGAGATGACACCCATGCCAACACACAGAGCTCGGGCTTGTGTCCAAGTCAGTAGTCCCTTCTTCCTTGTCGCGATGTTGTGGAGGGACCTTTTAACTGCCGCTGCGGGCAAGGGTTGGGGCTATTGCTGCTGTTGTGTAAGGTGGTGATCGCGGAACGAGTCACAAGATGACGCTAGCTCCCGCAGTGCAGATCTTGGTGCTCGATTCAAGGTTATCGTGGGGAGGGGGTAGTAGGAGTATGGCTTCCTCAACTGTGAGATGAACTGGAACTCTTTTTACCCTAGGAGACAGTTTCAGTGATTGGTTTTTGGGGAATGGAAGAAAATAGGGGACCAGGGATCAAGTCTCTCGGGGACTGTCTTCAAGATTGTTTATTCTGGAAGGCCCATTTGCCTTCAGAGTGTTCCTTCGAATTTATGATGGGTGAATAAAAAAAAGGGGGGTTTTTTTGAGAGTTCGAGGACTGTCAAGCAGGGGCAGTTGCCTTCAACAAAGGTAAGAAGTGAGAGGGGGAGGGTGGAAAGAATACCCAACTTCGACACCAGGCAGAAAAGCTCCCGTCCACCAGGCGGTAATGGCGTGCCTCCGGAAAAGGAGGTGGAGAGACAGGAAAGTTGAACTGTATACAGCCGTCAATCGACTTCTTCCGCTTACACACATATAAAGACAGTGGTCGTGCCCATCTACTGCTTCTTTGATCATGTTCCGGGACACCGGTCTTTCAGTTGCTCCGCTTTCCCCCGGGGATAGGTACCGAAGTCCTTGGTACACATGCCGGGAGGTATTTAGATCACGGAACACAAGGTTCGGCTCGTGACAACCCGTAGTCCAGCATCACCGGCGTCTCCAATGCCGAGTAGAGACACCTTTGAGACATGTCACACGAAAGTAAGCGAGGAGTATCGGCATGCACCCTTGATTCCCAAACCTCATAACTCCCAGTCTCGGGGTCCATGGAATACAGGATATGTCTAGCGTGACCACATTGCCGGTTTCTAGAGCGCCTCCCTAACCACGTGAGAAACTCGGCGGAAAAGCCGGAATGGAAGCTCCGAGGCCGAGAATCCCATGCTAAAATACAATGGCGAGACCGATGAATAGATGATCTAAGCCTTCGTGCCACGTGCAAGGAATATCTGCCTCTTCGTCCCTTCGTGGTCGTCGGCCTTGAAATTGAAGACAACACCCACAGACTGCAGCGCAAAGTCTTTGCCAGCACCAGCATCAATAAACATCTTCTTTATCTCCTCCTCCGAGAAGCCGTGGTGCGTGACGGTGTGCGAGGCTTCGTGGTGTGACTACCAGATGGTCATGTCAGTTTCGTTCAAATTAAATTCTCAACGCAAGAGGCCACCAGTTGAGATCGCACACAAGAACATAACATGAGAGGATAACAGCCGAAGCCTGGCATTAGAACTGGAAACTTACATGGTGTAGCTTATCATGGGCCAAGAAATCCAGGACGAGCAGGACACCGCCCGGATTGAGACGCTCGACGAGCCTCTGGGCCGCAAGAGCCGGGTCGTCAAAGTGGTGGAATCCCAGGCCTACGGCAGCAATGTCAAAGTTGAAGAAGACTGGTGCAGCCAGTGTCTCCGGGTTGGGATCCGATGGCACACAGAGGTTGCCTTGGTAGGCATGCATCTCATCTTCAGTCAGACCCTGCGGTGTGATGCGGAGTGACCCCAGTGTGTCAGTCAGAGGTCGTGCCACAGTTTCTGTGGCCGAAAGAACGGAGTAATGGATGATCAGGAACTGACCTGGTTCTCTGCCCGAGTGTTATATGCGTCGACCATATTCTCAGAGAGGTCGATGCCGACGCATTGTGTCGTGTACGGAGCGAGAGCCTAGAGGGGGTCCAGCACATTGAGTGTCAACCGTCAACCTTCCCTGAGCATCGGATCTCGACAACGGCAACAACATACCCTCGAAACTGTCACAGCAGTCTGTCAGTAGGTATTCGTCGTGAGAGCCACTAACCCGTTTATCAACTGTTTGGCAATTTGCCCCCCGTCATGGACGGCAGCCTCCCAGAACAAAAAAGGATCGACTTACCAAGCCCAGTCCCACAAGCATAATCCAGCAATCTCACCTGCTTCTTCAGAGCAGCAACGGCAGGAGCAGCAGGAGCCCCCTTCTTCTCGTCATCTGCATCGCTTTCGTCCGAGTCCTCATCACTGGCCCAGTCCACGCCGATAAAATCAAGCCTGGCACGGATCTCCTCCAGAACCCGGTTCAGCGTCTTTTCGTGCTTGGAGTCGTAGGACGCCGCCTGCTTGCTTCAGAACTTGTTAGTAAGGTAGTTCAACTGACGGGTTGGATGCGAGAGAGGGAAACGATATCGTGCCCTATGCCAGCCAATATTTGCCCTTGTCGATCTCATCAATTGCAGGTGCCCGTTGACAAACAGAGAAGACAAGCCACAACTCACTTGAAATATTCCTTGTTCTGCTCCGACGCCATGATTTCTGCTGGTTCTTTCTCAACACTCAAGTCCAAATACTCGATCGTCTGACTAGTGCTAGCAAACGCGGTCGTTGCAAAATTGTTGTTTGTTGCGACCTGTCCCAGGGGGGTGGCGTGGTGACTCGGCCCAACTTGTTCCTGTTGCCCGTTTGCGATGACGAAAATGAACTCTACGAGACAGAGAATTGCAATGAAGCTAAAGATCATGCTCAATATTTCATCGGATAGAACTCATCCAGGTCGTGCACGGCGCTTTTATAACGATTTTGTTGCGGAAACTTTCTCTCGTGGACGCCGGAGACATTTTTTTGCATCCAGGGGCCATAGGCAACCTATTCTTCAGGGCCTTGATGACTCTGCGACAGAGGGGTCTTGGACACTCTGGAAAAGTCGCCGAGTCCACGGCCTTATGGAGACTTTTTCGCAAGCGCATTCTAGAATCTGCATTCCCCAAGGTATCGGGCATCATCAATACCGCCTCAGTAATTCGGCAAAGATACCCAGCAACAGCTTCAGAGCATCCGTCGCAATTGACCCCTGGGCAACTCCTCAGTCAGCAGCACCACCTGCAAATCCACACAGCCAGCCTCACCACAACTCGATGCCTGGCCATGCCCTCTTCAGGCCCCCCTCGTACCCAACCAGGGGCTGATTGGCCACCAGCATGCCATTACCGTCATGTGAGGACCAACAATGCGGGACACGCTCCCCCAACCCTTGTTTGCCTCGCACAAGCACGCCAGCAACACGCAACACGCCCAGCAGGCAAGCAGCGCGCGTCCCCGACCCGACCCGACCCGCCCCAGGCCGTCCCCGGCCCCTCGGTCGGCTTTTGCATTCCTCTCTCTTCGCCGATTACAACATCCCATTCCCGCAGACCCCCGGTTGCTGCACCCACGCCCCCCTCTCCCTCCCCGCCCCGGCCCACCAGCCCAGCCAGCCCCCCAGGTGGATTGACCAGGACCAGCGAGCGGGTCCGCGGGACACCGATCTGGGACGGGGGGCCAGGGGGATCGTAATCCATGCCGAGTGGCCTGTTTTGAAGGATGCCGGCAGGGTGGGAACTGCTGGCGGTGCCAGCTGGAAAGCTAGCATGCTGCCTTTCCAGAAGCAGCCCACACCGACGAAGCAAAAAGGAATAATTTGCAGACGCTACGGATACCTGCGCTCTCGCGCAAAAAATATGGCCAGGCGCTTTCTCGAGTCTCGAGTCTGGCCCCCGCTCGCAGCGACCGGTGGATAAAAGACGCGATGCGACAAAGAATGCCCGGCACCACCTCACCAATGCTTTCTGGCATCATAAAATCCAGCGGGCAGTGGCATGATGTGAGATGCGACAGCTCCATCTTCAACCACGTATCAAATCATCCGCTTCACAAACAAAAGAGGACTCTGCATGCTCATAATTCCAG